GGTCCGCTGTACTCCAGGCGGTGCTTGACTTCGTGGATGAGGCAGGACTCTCTTCTCGACTTCGAAAAATAGCAACCTGATCAGCGGAAATCACGACATCGAGAACCCGCTCCGACTATTTTATGCGCCCTGCCTAAGGGGCAATGTAGTTTTTTTTAACCTTTTCTACCTATATCTTTTCCTCCTCTCCCTCTCCCTATAGAACGAAAAAGCTGGCCCCGCTTACGGGAGACTAACGTTTCGTTATGCGCGTTTCCATTTCGTTCCTTTTCACAAGATTTATTTTCTTTATTACAAAATAAGCAACAACAACAACAAAATGTCGCCGGCCAGAGGCCATTCTCACCGTGGCTAGTGCCACTAAATAAGCTACGCTTTAGGGTAACCACACTTACCCATCTTGTAGCTTAAAAGAATGGTTGTCAGTTATCTGAAGCTGTATCTAAAATCACAGGAAACGCGTTTCCGTCCTCACCAAATGTTCAAACAGTTCGTGACGGATCAAAGCATTATTACATGAGCTTCCTATCACCGAATCTAATGCTGAGGAAGTCGCGCTTTTGAATCATGACGATCGGCAGTTGCATCCTCTCCGTACTAAACACCGAAATGGCGGCGCCCATAACCATATGGGGGAACAGAGTGCCGATACCCTAAGCTTATAGCTCACTTAGTGAGTCTAACGGTGGCCATGGGTTGTCAGAGATATGGGCGCACGTCAGGTCAGGCATCTTGAGCGCCCACCAAAGGTGTGCACGCGCACACTTCACTTCTGAAATGCAACAGAAAGTGAAGATGGTATCATCATTATCGTCCCGCCATCTTCGTGCCGCCCGAGCTCACGCCTTCGGGGTGGTCGGTCAGTCGCGACCTGTCTCGAGCTGCAGAACATACCGGATTCTCAAACTCACGCCAGCTGTGTACCTCCGCTTCCCTGCGATCAGACTATCGGGTAAGTCGACCACTCAGATGCTTACGGCCTGAATGTTCTCGCCTGGCACTTCGGTCCTATCTTCACTCACCTCGTTTAAATTTGTCCCGTCACAACACTAATTACTGAAAGGAAAAAAAACAAAAAACGATTCTGTCTGACGCTGAATTTTCGCTGGTCGGTTCCGTTTACGATGGGCAATATACGTACTCGGTAGGTCCTGCGAGCCAACTGCTTTGCGATGGAATCGGAAGAGTTTTCTTTTTGGCCAGTTCTGCCAATGAGAATGGCCTGCAGTTTCGGTATGAAAAACTTAGTTCGGCCCTTATGCTACTTACTAACCTTCTAACTAGCTCAATAAATTAAACAAGAACCAGGATTAATATTGTAAATGCACCACGGTGCAGCGCGGCATGCGTAAGTGTACTTTCAGCTGCGGTTTCTAAAGCAAACAAAAATATCCGTTCGTGCAAATGACCCAGAGAACAAAGTGCACAAGCTGTGGTCAAACTGATCTGACCGCTTGGGTGAGCGTTACTAGATCAAATTTCGTTAGGACAACAACGGCGGAAGGTACGACAGCCGAGACAAACAGGCACGGGCTCCACTGCACGCAAGGGGAGCGGGGGCAATAGACCGATCTCATTGAAGGCTATACTCCGACGTTGAGCGCAGCGAACGTGGTGGAGCGCAGAGGGTGGGCCTTTGATCGGCCGGCGAGCAGGAGTTTTAATACGCGCGACCAATCAGCATCTGTGTGCGCTTCGTTACGGCGCGTTTGCGACACTCGACGTCAGAGTATCGTGAGCTTTCACGTGACCTCAGTTCGCCATTTTGTTGTTGGATGTCCCGCGATCAATTGTGTAGGCCCCAATGCACTATAAGTGTTCGATGGTGCCAGAGGAATCGTACAAACGCTCGCCTTTCACACGCGCCCGGCAGCTCCTAATAACAGAATGGTGAACATAATTTCGAGCCTTAAGCGTTCCACGGGTGCGTGACGTCGCTATAGCTGTAGTTCATAGGAGACAGATATGCAGGTACAGTGCACTCGGGGTAGTGTTTGGACCGGCGCGACTCAACAATGGGAACTGGTGAGGCTGCGTATGTAGACAACATTCGCGGCGCTGCAGTTGAGAGGGCAGAAAGTCGCTGCAGTTCGCACGTGCCGCCGCACGAGCGAGTGCACGCGGTGCACGCGCACAACCACCACCATACTGATCCTACTGCCGAGGCGCCGCTGTCGACACCAATCGCGAACTGCACTACACGTCTAACGCGAGCCGCTCCGGTTCCAACAGCGCCCCGTATTCTAGTACATCTGCATAGGAAACATAGCTTGCAAGTGTCACCATTGTTGGATACTGACGGTTATGTAATGCCTTAGCATTAGTACGCACTTGACAGTGAAAAGCTGACGCCGTCCCCTGCGGACAAAAGAGTGGAAAGGAAAGTGCGCTGCGTAGAGAAGAGGCGAGTAGTGAAGGAAAAGGGCGAGAGGGAGGCGACGTCACGGGGCGGAAGCAAATGAGTGCGCGGGAAACCGGTGAACGGTGAAAACAGCGTCAGGCAGCGGATGCCGCTGCGTGCAAGGCGGGCAAACGAGACAGAGGAACCGGAAAAGCGCCTAGCTTGGCTTGGCCGAAATGCGGCACAAGAAGCAGCCGACGCGGGTCTGTGTGCCACACGGTCTGGGGAGAAGCGGGGTTCGCCGAGCCAGCTTCTCCGGAAAAGAATAAAAAATAAAGGAAGGTCCATTGGTGGATCCTTAGGAAATGCGTTAGCATGACCCTTGGGAAACGCCACATACGTCCCTCTTTAAGAAACGCTAACGCCCACCCAGTAACGAAGCAAAACAAACAAACAAAAAAAAAAAAATAAAAACGCAGCAAAAAATATAAGATGCAAAAGAGAAGACCAAAACAGAAAAGTAAAGGGGTGAGCGCTAGCGTTTCCCCAAGGGAGGACGTGCGTAGCGTTTCCCAAGGACCATGCAAACGCATTCCCTAAGGATCCGCCAATGGACCTTCCTTTAAAGTTTCTGCCTTTATGTTGCTGCTGCTGTTTCTGCTTTAATGTTTCTGCTGTTTCTGCGTGTTGCTGCTTAGAAGTTGTGGATCTTCGAACCACAACTTCTGCGGTATGAAACCAAAACGGCAAACCGAACGCTCGCGGCACATAAAATACGGGCATGGTTGCGTATGACGTCACATGCAAGCCATGCGTACGAAGCTCCCGTTAAAGGCGGGAAACCGAAACTTCTGCTTGACGCTCTCACCTTGTCAGTGGACTGTTAAGCTCTCCACGATAACTACCGTTGCCGCGGATCACGCATGCGTAGGACCATAGCTTCCTATATAGTGACAAAGCCTGCAGATTGCCATGAGAAGCACCCGCAGAAATGAAAAAGGTGGAGTGGCAGACAACGCATGAGAGAAGAGCCACGTGACTGGCGCCCCGGCGCGGCGAGACGTCGAAACACACTTCTCCCGAGCGAACAAGTGCGTTTCGGGAATTCGCTGCTGCAAAAGCTATGCGCTGACATCCAGGTTCCCCGAGAAATGGCTCTTTGATGCACTGTGCTATTAGATCCTCGCGCTCTAAATCTGCGACCGGGCACTCTATGGCTCCGTTGTCGAACTGCCATGCTTTTTGAGTATAGAGGAGGCTACGGTGGAACGCTCCCTGGTAAAGCTGAAAGGAATATTTGATGGGACGCTGAAACCGAAAGGCGGAAGTTTTTTTTTTGTTTTTAACGCTTTGTTAGCGCGCATGGACAGATGATGACAACTAGACGCTTGTATTCGAACGTGGTTCGTGCATGGTCGGCCATTACAGCGCCAATTTTATGGTCGTGTCCCGTGCATAGAGTTATTACAATGTACGCTTGGCGTTCGACCGGCGCTAGTGAGGTGTAGCAAGTCGAAGCCTCTGCTACGCTGGCTCTTGTAATGAAGCGGAGTATAGAAGACTATGTAGCGTTATAATGACGCTTTCGAAACGCGACCTACACATATTCTATTTTTCACGCCTAAATCTGCTGAAAACTTGAGAGCTACGGACCTAGAGCTACCAAACAAGCTACGTGTCAGAGTAAGGACACTTCAGCTATCTCGATGCTTACAATCGTGGTTGCCCATGACCTACAGCTTTATCTTAAATCGCGGGAAACGTTTTTACATCCTCCAGAAATGTTAGAACCGATCGCGACAAAGCAAGACTGTATCACCTGAGTTTTACGACCGTGACTATAAAGCTGAGAACGTCGAATCTTTTGATTGACGATCGACAGTCGCTCCTGCTCTGCTGTAAGCACCAAGATGGCGGCGCCCATTAGCAGATCGGAAAACGCGGAGTACCAATACTCTAAACGTAGCTCATTTAGTGACGCTATATCTATATACGCCGAGAAACTGAGGGAGAAGTGGAGACAACAGCGTACGGGGACGGTCAGAACGCCAAGCTCTGGTTCGAATGATTAGTGGTTAGACCTAAAGCCAGCTAGCTGCCTTTGACTACACGGCACTCGTGGAACGCGTTAGAACACGGAACACTGGAGTCTGGAGTTTGGCTCTCGCATGGAAACGCGTTCGACGGGTGCAGTGGAGACAAAAAAAACTAGCTTTAGGTCTACCCACTAATCATTCGAATCAGAGCTCGGCGTTCTGACGTCGTTACGCGCTCTCGCCTCCTCCTGACCTGCTCTCCCTCACTTTCAGGGCGCATTGATTCCACACGAGGTTGCTGACTTGAGCAGAAACACGGCGGAGACTAGAGCCCTGCTTGCCATCGCGTGTACCACGCGGGCAAGATGAGCTGAGCCTCCCAATCCGGCCTTTTTCAGCGTCTACGGTTTTTAGAAGATTCTTTACCTCTCGATTTGTCCGAGAGGTCAGACGATGGGACTTAGGCTTTGCGGTTCATTAGAATTAAAGACCAAAGCTTTCTTAGGAGCCAGCAGATACGCCAAACAAGCACAAACAAGTGTTTTAGATCGTATTATCCGCGATAGTAGAGTCTGGTGTTTGAAGCACTGAACTATTCGGTTAAAATTTGAGTTTCATTCTAGGATGATCCTCAGCGTGCTGCTCCCAACGGCTGCGCTCGTGCTCATGCCAACCTTGAGCACGAACACCGCTCAGCTGAATCGCACGGGCGGTGGGTATCAAAACCTTCGTGTGGCCATTGCGGAGAACATCCCACATCATCCGAACCTCCTGGTTAATCTAAAGGTAAGCATATTGTCGTTATTTGCAGAACAATAGTTAAACATGCGCGCTGTGAGGCCAGGAAAGCACCTAACAGCTTGTTACCTGCTTGACTAAAAACACCAAGACTGGGACAAGATGGGACGGACAAACACAAAGTCTTGTGTTTGTCCGTCCCTCCTCGTCCCAGTCTCGGGGTTTTTCGTCAAATTTTAGAGCGCAGCTCTTAGGCGCCCGTTTCCGGCTTGAGCGGCGTCGGCGTCGCCTTCGGCGTAACCGCGCGTTGCATTATGGGTAAATTTTCCCGAAGGAACCTGAGGTCCTCCCGAAGGACCTCGGGTTCCTTCGGGAGGACCTCGGAAGAACCTCGGGTTCCTTCGGGAGGACCTGGGAGGACCTCGGGTTCCTTCGGGAAGACCTCGGGTTCCTTCGAGAGGACCTCGGAGGACCTCGGGTTCCTTCGGGAGAGCCTCTGGAGGACTTCGGGTTATTTCGGGAAGACCTCGGGTTCTTTCGGGTGGACCTCGGGAGAACGTCGGGTTCCTTCGGGAGGACCTCGGGAGGACCTCGAGTACCTTCGGTGACCTCGGGGAGGGGGGGGCCACGTGACCCCCCAAGGCCACGTGACCCCCGAGGTCACGTGAGCCCCGAGGTCACGTGAGCCCCGAGGTCACTTGACCCCCCAGGCACGTGACCCCCAAGGTCACATTACTCCCCCCCCCCGAGGTAACGTTACCCCTCTGCCCCGAAAACACGTGACCCCCAGTACCCTTCCCTCCTCCTCCTCAAAAGCTGCGCTCTAATTCGGCGTTACAGGGAGTTGTAAACGGCTTTCATTTTTTGACCACCACCAGCTCATTTGAGCCCTAACCATTGTTTACCTTCTTAGTTGCAATGAATGCTACGCTTAATAGCACTTTTACCCGGGCAGCACACAGTATTGTGCCAATATTGGCGCCGGATCAGAGAAATCGGGCCAACATCACTTTGATACTGCCGATATTGGCGCTGGATTGTTAAGATCGGGCCAGTATTACCGTGATTTGGCCGGTGTCGTCGGAACATCACTTGGGTCGGCCAGCGCCACGCTGATACACAAAATCTAGCGCCGTTTTCCGATAATTTGTCGGGTCTGAACCGGCTATATTGGCCGGTATTCGGAATTCTTGACCGTTTCTAAGACGATACTGAATCGCGGTCAATCGCGCCGGTCAATCGCGGCGGCCGCCGCTGTCGCCACGGGCCTAGAGTGCCTTCATACACACGCGTGCTTTTGCTTGAGTGGTGACATCTCAGCCATTTTTCCGCCCAATCAGGTTTTTATACATTTTGAAGCGCGCGCAATCTGGAGTCACTCAGCTCGAGCGCGTAGCTTTTAAAATAGACGCCATTTTACCACCCAAGTCACGCACCGAGTGCGCGAAAGCGTCACGCGCTGGCACACTCAGGGCAACAATGGATGTCTTCACCTTTAGACAGACAGACATGTAGGCACCCTACACGGGCCGCGCCGAGGGCGCGCCGGGCAATCAGCGGCTGGAACTGGGTTTTTATGTACAAACAAACGGAAAAAATCTTTTTTTGTAGCAACTTTCATTGGAGATTAGTACAAAACGGGAGGGGGGGGGGGGGGCGTGATGCTTTCTAAGCTCTTTAGTCTACAAGGTTTGCGGCACAGTTAATATTGTTTGTATACAACCAGGTCTCAGCGGTGATTTCAGGTAGCGCGTCCCGACCTAGGCGCATCCTAACTTCGGCAGTAAACCGCGGCGCGTCCGCTTGGGAGGGGGGGGAAGCACCCTTGAAGCGCATCTGTTTCTTAGCCAAAATGGCCGATTAAAGCCAAAATAGAAGTCACGTGTAGTTCCTCGAGTGGCCGGTGCGGAAGAATTGGTGGCGTTGCGATCGCTATTAGCTAGCTTCTCAAGTACAGATCGGTGCCGCTTTTTCAGAGCAGGCTTTATGACAGTTTCCCAACCGATCGGTTAATTCTGTAGTAACGTTGGCTTGGCCCAAGTCCGCTGAGCGCTGGCACCGCAGCGGCCGCGGGCCTGTTAACCTTTATTCGCCCATCTCTGCCCTGATCTCGAATGATATCACCGATTCTGGCCCATTTTGAGAGCGACTGTTAACCGATATGAGCCCGATTCTGGGCCGTGGTGCAAAAACATGAAACAAGGCCAATATTGTGCGCAATATTCCCCCGACGCTGGCTCAGTGTCGGCGAGCTGCCTGGGTAGTCAGGTTGGTCAACAGCTCAATAGACCTTTTCCGAGATTTAGTCTGGCCACCTTGGTAATCATCATCATCTCAGGAATGGCATATGTACCGTACTAATGGTGGCTTTGTGGTTACTGATGAAGGAAGTTGAAGATGCTCCGAAGTGAATGATGCGAGGCCTATACGTCAAGCGTAACTGCACTAAAATTTAACTTCGACCAATGCCCTCTATCTCAAAGAGCTCAACTTGCTCGCCTTGTCCTCTTTCACATAACTTACTATTCCTCTTCTGATTTTCGAAACACCAACTGTCACCCACCACCTCACATCTCCTTGCGTCACGACCACAGCCTAAAAATTAAAGCTCTATTCGCCAGAACTAATAAATTCCAAAATTCCCCACTTTCTCTCGCTATTACTAACTGGAATTCCCTTCCTAAAACCATAGTATGTGAATCTAACCCTAAGACATTCTGTGAACTCTGCAAAGCACACATGAAAAGCGTTGATCGCCCTATTGAAAATTCCATCAAGATATGTAATTTGGGACACTGACTGCCAGTCAGCAGCCCTGGTGGAACGTGATGGCCCATCGGACGTCATCTGATGGCCCATCGGACGTCATCTGATGACCCATCAGATGACGTCTGACTGCCACTGCCAAGGAAATTTCATCAACAAGGGCAGCATTTATATAAGAGTAAAGCAATACGCACTCATAAATATCGCCAAATGCCTCGACAAAACAAAATGTTCGAGAAAAAAAAAGAAAAAAAGCAGGTACGCCGCTTAGGAAACCCGATTTGACCATTCGTTTTATTCGAGTTTAGCGGGGTGCGTATAGCCATTTCCGTCCGAAGTGCGCTCCGGAGTGCGTATAGCTTTACTGTTTATATAAAGCTCACACTCCGAGGTGGCAATCTTGGATGGCTATGAAACGGTTCACAAGCCGAGGTGGCCATCTTGCATGGCTGTGAAACGGTTCACAACTCCTTAAAATGAATGTAATTCATGACATCAAAAATCAGGAAAAGTGTGTACCCGTCCGTTTTTTTTTTTTTTTTTTCCTTTTGAAATTAGCATTTTTCGGGAGAAAGGGACATTCGTTTACAAACGGGCCCACATGCACCGTAAGCATGTTTCAAAGAAACGCCCTCGATGTCTGAACCTTTCGGGACGACCGTATACACTTTAATTCACAAAACCTGTGCGACTCCACTGAAGCTAGAGAGCAAGCATGCATGCTATGATACTCACCTGCCATGTAGATTACTTTCGCTTCGTAGAACGATCCTTTTGTTCGCGCGTCTCCGGCCTAGTAGACCTGGTACACCTTGTCGTCTTCAACTACACCGCTAAAGTCCCTTACATCGTCGGAACTCACGACAGGCTGGGTCTTGTCGAGTAGAAATTCTACTAAAACATAAGACATTGTAGAGCCCGGGCAGCATCAACAGGTTGGAGCAAGTGGGCAAACAAAACGAGTCGAGAGCGATTGTTCATGGAAGCTCGGCGAAGCTGGCGAAGCCTCTCTGGGTGAAGCGAAAGTGGCGTGCTCGGCGTGTTCGGCGGGCTTGTGATCAAGGTTGTCGGTCGGCTGCGTGTCATATCTCTAACATCAGCGGTTTTATGGGCTCACGTCTCGAAATCGTTTTCTCGTGCATAGATTATTTTTCGTATTCATAGATTTGACGAAATAGTGGTATCCGAACGAAATTTATGTCCTTTGACCGTACGTCTGTCTGCACGTCAAAGCTTTTTGACGTACAGTCAGAGACAATCGATGTAGAATTAGAATCGCCACCAAGACATCTTGATGGCATTTCGCGGCGGCCGACTGCCAACAGGAAACCATCAGAAAGCCGACAAGCGGAGTCTGACTGGAGTTTGACTGTAGGTCAGAGTAACTTGTTGGCCAATCAGACATATGCTTGACGTACAGTCAGGCACAGTCAGCGGTCCACTAGAAAACATTGACTGGGAAACAGGGTTGCATTGATGGATTTTTCCTTCGGGATCTTTAGCATGTTTATCTGTTAATTACTTTTTCTACATGTTATGTTTTGATATCTGTCCCATTAGTTTGTAGTTATTTTGCGTTCTCCTATTATTTACCATGTCGTCACCCTCCTGCTATCTGTATATGGCATTTGATCTCACCTCATGTAATGCACTTCATCTTAAATGCCTTTGAGGTATAATAAACTGAACTGAACTGAACTATACATTCGAGACGTTAGTACAATGCGACGCCGGAATCGAATAAAAAAGCCGCGTAACTACTCATGTTTTACACGAGTACAGTCGATCTGTTGGCGGTACATAATCGGCACTCTGTCGGTGTCAAACACTGAGAGTATTTGGAATTTTCGCAAATATCTCTCATGGTCCCCGTCTGCTCCGACTTGTAAGTTAGCATTGTTGAGTGCGCTTCTCCCCGCCAGCTTGTGTACTGCAGTGAAGCGGCCACCGCGAAATAAGCATCGCAGTTTTGCTTATCTTGCTTTGCCGCAGTGTATTGAAGCGGGACGTTAAAAACGCAAGCGTCGGGTATATATATATACAGTATATATATAAAAGATAAAAAAATAAAACTTTCGTATGTGTTAATGTAGCAACTCTTAATTGCGGCACACATTTCTGAAGTAAACTGCGGCTATTATTCATGATAGACCGCGGTATAGTCGGTATATCTTTTTCAAATTCGGGATTTAACGAAGGTACTCGCAAGAAAATTCACGTGAAATGCTCTATAGGTTTATTTTTATTGAAACTCCGCTGTTTATTTGTCACCTTTAAATATGTTTTATCCGTTTGAGGTACAGCCACTAAAATAAATTAAAACTAAATTATGTGAAGCAGTTGAAGGAAGCTTGAGAATATCTAAACGACTTTGTCTGGGTTGTTTTACGGAGGCATACTTCTCGTCCACATACCGATCTCTGTTATTATAAAGTTCTGCATACAAAACATCATTGATTTTCATAATTTAATAACATTTACTTTTTAGATCTGAATTAAGACTTTTTTTTATCACAACCTTCAGAACTTGAATGATGCATCAATTTGTTTGCTCAAGATTATTCTAACATTATTTCAGTGGAATATACTATTTGGTTTAAACTCTATTTCGTACCTAAAATAACAATTTACAGTGGTTCATACAGTATTTCATCAATCGACATCTTGTTCCCGTGCCTGGCGCTTCTATGTGCAATTAAACAGCCAGCTATGTGTATGAGGAAATCAAACCTCCTGATGCACAGAAGCGAGCACATCTTTTTTTTTTTTTTTTACTTTGAGAGGCCACCACAGTGGTACGAATAAAAATGAAGTGTGAGCTTGTGCCCCAAAAGTACTTTTTGCTGCTCCATAACGGACTTTCAGCTGTTCCAAATGGTGCTGCAAAATGACTCGAGTCAATCGCATCACTGTACGTGGTATTCGTCGTCGAAGAAGCTACGTGGCTCTTCCATGGCAAAACTTCGGACGCCGTTTTTAGGCTGCCGCTCGTCGATGGGTTCTTCGCGTCAATACGCTAACACAAAGAAGTCCGTGTTTCTTTCTCACACAAGATGTGGCCAGTGCGCGTGTGTAGAAACCAGATTTGCTCGAAGCGTCTGCGCATGCGCAGTGCCGACAGCAGCGCCACCGCATTGGTGTGACGTAAGAGAATTCACTTGGTGTCGTTCGTTTTCTTCATAGAGTTATTACAATAAACGCTAGAGGCTCACCTGGCGCTAGTGTGCTGTTGCATTTTAAAGCAGACAGCAAGCAGTCAGAAATCGACTTCCGGTAATGCGATTCTATGGGAAAAAGCGAGTGCATTTTCTCTCTGCGCTTGAATGTAAGAGCAAATGTCATTAATATTTTGTACGTATTAGGCACACAGGAACATTTCTCAGTCACGCAGACGAAATAATTTTTCAGTTACAGCATTTTTATTTGAAATTCGCGGCATGAAAAACGGTGTTAAGACCGCTTTGTACATGTATTTATGTGCACTGTCGGACACTGTTAGCGCGAACACGGCGTCGACGCTTCCCAGCATTGGGGATATACGTGCCAAACGAACGAAGGACATGTGGAAAACCAAGAGAGACGGCAAGAACTACGCAGTAACACTGGATAAGTAACTACTTGTGCTTGCAGACGATCAAAATAAAGATAAGATTACGTAATATAATCTGATTTGCGATAAACAAAAGTACTGCTTTATTAATTCTGATCATGAATATGTGCGAAGATGCTTGTTCTGTGTTGAAATTATCACCCGCACGCTCCAAATCTTTGCAAATAGGGGGAAGCCAGAGAACAGGTGTGCGATAAAAACTGCCAAACATAGGAAATAATAAGAAAACACACCTTTCGTAGCCCACGTACTTTATTCTTTACGTTTCGAACGTTTTTTTAACCACTCGTAAAGATGCACGACGGGGTCATTTTCATATAGTGAGAGGACAGGTGAATGAATGAATAAACTTCATTGCAGGTATGGGTTCTAGTACACCCAGTTGGAGCCCCTAGTCCGGGGCCCCATACGTGGCGGCCACCGACTCGGCACGGTCCACCAGCCATTGCTGGCCGGTGGCCGTGTCATCGGTCAGCCGCTCCTCCCAGGAGGTGGGGGAGGGGTTGGGAAGAGGCGAGACAGAGGGAATGGCTTGGCATTGCCAGACCATATGGAGAAGGGTAGGACGATCGCCGCAGTGCGGGCACTCAGGCGGACCGCGGGAGGGGTACACGTATGAGTAGAAAAGGGGCGTCGGGAAGGTGTTGGTTTGGAGCTGACGCCATAGGACGCCCTGTCTGCGAGTAAGGGAAGGCTGAGGAGGAGGATATTGTTGTCGAGCAAGGCGTAGCTCAGCTAGGTGAGTCGAGTATGAAAAAGGGGCTGGTCGGATGGTAGCAGAGTCTTCCCCAGGTGCCCGGTTTGAGAGTTCTCGGGCGAGCGCATGTGCGCACTCATTACCAGGGATGTGTGCTTGCCCAGGCACCAAGACTAACCGGAAAGTGTGGGAGGTGGAAGATAGGAAAGAGTCGAGTAGGGACGCAGTGAAGGGATGTACGCTGTTGTAAAGGAAGTGTCGACAGGCCGTCTGGGAGTTAGTCAGAATGTGAGTTGGCGTGGAGGAGGAAAGAGTGGAGGTGGAAAGGATTGCCCTGGCAACCGCACGCTCCTCCAGGAGGGACACGTCGGTGAGACCACGTTCCGTGGCAGCGTGGACCAGCCTGAGGTCACTGTTCACGACGACTGTGATCCCCCCGCGTGCATCCTGCGGACTGGCGTCCGTAAAGAGGGCACGAACGGTATCGCAGCCTTCAGTATACGCGCGTCGGAGGTAGCGCGAGCGATGGTCACGTCGGGCCGAGTGACGGGTAGGATGCATATGGCGGGGAATAGGAGCCACAATGAGTTTGGCGCGAGCAGCGGGGGAGAGACCCGCAGAGCTAAAGGAAGCAGGACAGGGTGGGAAACCAAGGGTGGCAAGGAGACTCTGCCCTTGAACCGTCGAGCACAAGCGCATCAACTGGGCAGCCTCATGCGCTTCTATAAGTTCCTCCAGGGTGTTGGTCACACCAAACCGCTCTAGGCAAATGGTGGCTGTGCGAACGGGGAGACCGAGCGCCAGTTTCTGCGCCTTCCGTAGTAGGGTAGACATACATTTGTGTTCAGTCTGGGTGAGGTTTTGGTAGGGTAGGTGGTAGAGTAGACGTGTATGAATCAAGGCCTGGACATGGCACAAGGCTTGTGCCTCTTTAAGGCCATTTCGGCGGTTAGAGACGCGGCGTAGCATGTGCATGATTTGGTTGCACTGGGTAGTGAGTTGGTGAAGGGTTTGTGTTGCCTTAGCGTTGAACTGCAACGTGAAGCCAAGCACCCGTATGGCCGATTTACGCGGGACGGGTTTGTCATCTAGTGTGATGGTGAAGAGAAGATCGGTTTGTCCGCGAGCGTGTTTTGTCATGACTAGTAACTCCGACTTAGTGGGGGAACATGTGAGGCCCCCACGCCGGGCATATTGCTCGATGGTAGTAGCGGCTTGTTGTAGCTGAGTCTCTATTTGTCCGAGGGAGCCTCTCGTTACCCAGACAGTAATATCATCTGCGTAAATTGCATGTCTAACATTTGAGATCTCATCCAGAAGGGGAGGGAGACCACGCATAGCAAGGTTAAACAGGAGGGGAGAGAGTACAGAGCCTTGCGGAGTACCTCGGTTTGCCACCGGAGTGGAGGGGGAGCGAAGGTGACCAAGAACGAGGGTGGCAGACCTGTCGCGGAGGAAATTGCGGATGTAATTGTACACCTTCGCTCCGCAGCAAGTGGCTGCCAACTGTTCAAGGGCCAGGTCGTGGGACAGGTTGTCGAAGGCTCCTTTAAGATCTGCGGCAAGGACAGCGCGATATTGAGCAGTGCTTGGAGCGTCTAGAACTTCGTGTTTGAGGCGGAGCAGTACATCCTGAGTAGAAATACCACTACGGTATCCATTGAGGGTGTGGGGAAGGGCGGAGGTGTCGGCAAAAAATTTGTGTAGACGAAGCTGTAGGACCTTCTCGAGCAGTTTGCCCAGACATGAAGTAAGGGAAATCGGGCGCAGGTTCTCCAAGGAGAGGGGTTTGCCAGGCTTAGGAATTAGAACGACTGTGGCTTCCTTCCATTCCTTGGGAAGGGTTCCTGACTCCCACACCTCATTCAAGTACGTAGTAAGTTGAGTGGTGTCGGAATCAGAGAGGTTGTACAGGAGATAGTAGCGAATCTTGTCAGGACCAGGGGATGTGTTGCAGCGAATGTCGGTGAGTGCAGCGCGAATCTCAATGTCCGTGATGGGCGCGTTAAGATAAGGAAAATTGTTGGGGTGACCCGTGTAGTCCGCGTTGCGTGGGGTGTCAGGAGGGGAAAGGTAACGCTGTCGTAGCTGTGTGAGGCATTCGGAGTCTGTTAGGTTAGTGGCCTGGAGAAGTTTGTAAATGCCCTTGGCCCTGTCCGATTTGGCTTGGCCTGGTTGTAATAGATGACGGATTAGGGACCATGTTCGTGCAGTACCGAGCGTATTATTGAGCTTGTCGCACAGCATATTCTAGTTTTGACCAGTGAGGTTGGCAGCATAGGTAGCAGCATCTACAGTGAGTTGTGCAATGCGTAGTTTGAGCTTCCGGTTGTGTCGTTGACGTCGCCACCGTTTGTTAGACCGCGGCGCGCTTCCCATAGGTGAAGCAGGTGGGAGTCTATATCCGGCGCATCGGGAGTGGTGGTAAGGGTGCGCGAGTGTCGGTCTAGCCGGGTTTGCAGTGTCTGCACCCAATCAGTGAGTGTGTCGGGCAAGGTAGAAGAGGAAGATGCGCGGAAGGCAGGCCAGTCCGTGTTGCGGATTTTGCGTGCCTCACCTGCGAAGTCTTTGGTGTTGATATGGGTGACAAGAATGAAATGGTCACTGCCGAGCTGCTCCTCAAGGTTGTGCCAGGTGCAGGGTTTTGTGCCTCGGTACAGGGTGAGGTCAGGACACGTGTCCCGTGCAACGCTGGTGCCAAGACGTGTAGGTGTCGATGGATCAGTAAGTAGAGTGAGATTGTGCTGTTGGATCAAAGTGTGTAGCTTGCGCCCCTTAGGTGTGTCGCGAGGGTAGCCCCAAGTGGGATGAGGAGCGTTGAAGTCGCCTGCAATGAAAGTTCCGCAATCCTTGCGCCGTGCATCTTCAAACAGCGTATCAAACCGTGCGTAGCGGTCTTGGGGCGGCTATAGACATTGAGTAGGCGGAGAGGTTGGGTGTTACGCTTGCGTGGGGAGGCGGGAAGGAGTTCAAGTAGGACATGTGGAACGGCCTGGTTGTCTAAAGTAAAGTCTACCGCGGTGTGAACACGTTTGACTAGGGTGGCCACAAGGTGGTCCTGTTTGGGATCGTTATGTGCCACATGTGTCGCATATCCAGGAAGATTAGGAAGGGTTCGAGGTTCTTGTAGAAAGATGATGTCGGGTGGGGGAGCGTGCGATTAAAGATACTGTATGAGGCTGCCGCGCTTTTTTCGGAGGCTACGGCAATTCCACTGCCACGCAGTGAGTTCTGAAGAGGAATGTGGCGCGGCAGTTGCCATTTACAATGATCTAATAAGGGGAAGGGCCATTTGAAGAACTGTGAGTATGCTGCGGGCCCATTCTGCGTCAATAGATTCCGAAAGCTTGCAGATTATGTTTGCTCCTGTTTGAAGCTTCGGAATCCACCCCTTGCTTGGAGCTGTGTCAGTTGAAACGGACGGAGTCGTACGCTTCGGTGTTCTTCGCTTTCTTGGATCGGCGGGTGTGTTTCCTGACGTTGTCGGATCTTCGAGTTGGATTAGGTCAGGTGAAATAGGCCCTTCCTTAGTCGGAGGTGCCTCTATTTTGTTACTTTTTGGAACCTTAGTTAGTGCAGCGTATGTAGGCCTCTCTGGTACCTGGTTCTCAGTTATGGTAGCCAAAGTGTCCTGCGCAGTTGAAGAAAGCCCTTCGCTTTTTCTAGGCCGCTCCGGCCATCCGGATTCATGAAGTGCAGTTCTGGCAGTGCGGAAATCGACTCCGTGTTGTCTGGAGTAACTTTTTGCCTTTTTTTTCTGCCGCCATTTTGAACAGGATGGTGATGTAGCCGAGTGTGCGTCGCCGCAGTTAATGCACTTTTCTTGAGCAGAGCAGGAGTCTCTGTCCTCATGCGTGCCGCTGCAGCGTTTGCACACCGGGCTGCGCTTGCAGGTTGCCTTTCGATGTCCTCTCGATGTCCATATCGGCAACACTTGCGGCATTGAAGTGGATTCTCTTGGAATTGTGAAACTGCATGCCGGACATGACCGAGGCAAACGTAGCTTGGCAACGTCGATCCACAGAAGGAGATCTTAATCGATGAACGTTTGCCCAGTCGTCGAAGACGAGCAACTCTGTTTTCAGGGGACCTTAGGTTGCTGGCGATTTCTTCGTCAGTGAGCGTGGTGTCTACGTCCCTGATTACACCTGTGGCGCGATGTCTGGGGAGAGGCTCATACGCTCTGACTTTGATTCCACAGAGCATCGTGCATCGTAGCAGCCCACGCGTCGTCTGTCCGTTCCTTACGTCAACGGATATGAGATTCAGGTGGTTGTTGAACCTGATTTCCGAGATACATTCAGGGAACATCTTCTCATGAGCAAGGGACAGTTTTAGGCTACTAAGTGACGTAATCACGTGGCCCTCCTCTAATGGCGTGAATACGACAGTAAGCCCTTCAGGCACTACTGCAGCACTGCAGACTGTCTCAGCACTTAGGCTCGGATTAAGGCTAGCCTTTTTCCGCTTTTTTCTTGTCTTGGCATCTTTCCATTCTGGTTCGTCAAAGGTCTATGTCACTGGTTGGTACAATGACTCGACGCGAAGAGGTTGTGGCACATTGCTGACCTGGAGTGATGTCCTCAGCGGTATTCATGGGCGAGTCCTTGTCCTCTGATTCAGCGGTTGAGCTGCCACAGATGGAGGAAGACAGACTACTGATCGGTGGAGACGTGATGACTCGAGTGTTGAGAGGGTGGCCCGGAAGACATAGCCAGGTCGATTACCGTGCACCTGGAAAAAGCCCGGTGCGGGAGACCACACCGTTGACAGGAGCAGTCAACTTACAAAGGTTATCTGGAGTTCCAACTATTCAGACCGACTGATAAGGGTAAAAATATTAATTCAAGGGAGCGAGCTTGAAAAACGCAACCGTCTTCGAAACACTTCTTCTTGCTCCCTCGTATATTAGCAAGATATATAAGCACCAACGGAATGCTGGCGAACTTTGAACACACTTTATTTTCCTTTCGATCGTTTTTTTTTTTGCTTAGAATCGTCGCTCGTTTCTACATACATGCCATGGAAGAGAGTTAGACTTAGTAAACAGGATAACTGGGCGAGTTGGTATGGATTCATAATGGAACAGCGTGAATTTTTGCAAGGACAGAGGAAGGGACTGGACAGGACGAGCGCTGACTAACAACTGAAAGATTTATTCTCAGGAAACCACGAAGAAACATATCTTTGCTCTCTTCCAGCGCTCGTCCTGTCCAGTTCCTTCCTCTGTCCTTGCAAAAATTCGCGCTGTTCCATTACGAACAGAAGAGAGGTTTGGGACTGAAATATAGCGAAGATTAGCATCGTTCGTTCGTAAAGGAAAAACGCTGTAATTAAAGGAATTACACTTTCGCGATATTAATGAAGGTACATACTATTCGGTACAACCGAAATAACAAAAATTATTCATGTTATTATCCGGCGACGAGACAAAATCCACGCGCGTTTTCCCATAGGAATACACAGGGAGGCTGGAAAAGTAGGCTGCGTGCTGTCTGCTTCAATTTGCAACCGGAAGTCCCGTAGACACTAGCACCAGCTGAGCCTCAAGCCGTTTATTGTACTAACTCTATGGTTTTCTTCTTTCACCCAGGCTTTGATCAGACAGGCATCGCAGTTCCTTCTGGTGGCCACACTGGGAAACTTCTACTTCAAAGACGTGGAAATCTCAATACCCAAGATGTGGCCGAGCGCGGACGTGTCCGACAAGGTCTGGGAGGATCAGTACGACAGGGCGCAGGTCCAGATGACTGACGCGGTTACGA